GTGAACAAGAAATTGTCCCAGACTTGTGAACCCAACTTCTTGGTTCTTTTATTTTCATCCTGTCAATCAATTTCAGTACTTTATTTTATCGCACCGGTCACCATACTACTAACGTGCAATAACTTCAACTTATTAGGTTTTTAGAAATAAGTTAGTATGCTTCACATTTGAAAGTTTTATAATAAAACAGACTTCACTAATCACGCTTTTTTAAATCAAAAACGTAAGGTCCATTCTTAACATTCATACTCTAATGTCCATCATCGCATCAAGTCAAGTAAATGCTAGCCTGTGTGGCTTGCAGTATGCTTTGAATGAACAACTGACAAGTGCAAAGTTTTCGAGCCCTTGATTCTCACAAAACCGCCCTAAAAACTTCGGAACTGGCGCCGCCGAAAAACATTCTTTTCCTTCAAAATACCGATTCATGATTTTCACTAACAAAATAATTTGTTCCACCTTAACTCTATACGTTGCAAACATAGGCATTGATATTATAATTATAGGCATGGCTCAACAATGAAAACCAAAGTTTTCGCTTCCGGGAGAAATTCTCACATAACTCCGCAACTCGCCGCCGAAAAACATTCCTTTCTTTCAAAATGCCGATTCATAATTTCTCATGAACACAATAATTCATTCCATCTTAACTTTATTTACAAGTTGCAAACATAGGCGTCGATATTACATAGGCATCATTCAAATTTTCGAACTGCAATTTTGTTAGTTTTTTTTGAAAGCGCACGTGACCTCCAGATGCTGCGCGCACGAAACATGATCCCTTGAGTTCCGCATGATTTCATGCATGACTAATCATTTTAGCGGCAAGAAGTTCGTTTGTCGTTCGTCGCTTTTTACTAAGGGAAATGAAAAAAGAGTCAATCATTCTTTCGCATTTTAGTAATTTAAAGTTCTTGTTTGGGCCAATAAATTATATATGATATTTATTACAGCCGATGTTTAAAATTCTGCACGCTTTGACTCAATTTCGTTTTGAGAAAAAATTTGAAATTAACTTTTAATTGGTTTCCCCCAGCCTTTTGATTATCTGCCTTCCCAGATAAGGACAAAATTTGTTAATCAATAAGGCTGGTCAAAGATTTCCAAGCAATCCTGTAATGTTTATTGGAACACGGCATGAATATTATACATGGTGAAGTAAATTTTACCTGGCCCACTGATTATCTTTGGTTCCCTTGTATTCAACATCTTGCCAATCTGCCGGGCCATCAGTGTCTTTCCAGTACCTAAGCAAACCAGTATGTTCCATTATTAGTCCACCGAGGTTTCATGTAATTACTGATTAGAACCAGCTGGGGTTTCATTTTAAGGGCCGGACACTGGGCAAAAAGACTAGCAG